GTTGGCTTTGTTTCCCCATCTGTAAAAAGAAAGAGTTCTGATCATTGACCTTGGTAATGTCCAAATGAGGTAATGTGCAAATAAATAATTTTACAAACCATAAAGTGCATCACAGCTGAAAGGCAGCGTTAGTATTTTGCCACCCACTTCCAAATAGAACCGTCTACAATATACATAGGAAATGCCTTTGGCACTTGTACAAATACACGTCTACCACCCATGACCGACCACAGCAGTGTCTGAAGCTTCCTCTTCTGTAAACTGAGAGGGAAAGAGAGAGGACAGCATTGTCCCCAGGGCTCCTTCAGGTCCTCCCATGCTGAGAAGTGAGGAAGCTCTGATTCTTTACACCCTAAGAGCAACAGATTCTCATGAGACTCATGGGGAGGACGCTTCCTTCCTGGCTGCTGGACTCCAGGTCTTAAAAGCGGAGAAAGGGAATCGTTTCTTGTGCATGAGGGCTGTGAGTATTTTCCTTTGTCTGAAGTGGCTTTGTTTAGAGAACAGAGCTGATCCCATCTCATCTCAGCCCCAGGAAACCAATTCAGAGACTTGGAAGGCTGTGCACAGACAAAGATGGAAGAGCGCATAGTAAGTGGTGAGGTACGAGATACATGCTGGTCTGTCATTTTTTGAATGAACCTGGACTTGGTTCCCTGACAGGGTACTAGATCACTCTGAACGAGGTGTGTGTGTGTGTGTGTGTGTGTATCTGTAGCATCTGTACACTGCTGAAGATATGACCTTCAGGCTGACTTGTCGGCCTCAGCTGGTACCCACACTGGGCATTGCTGGTTCCCCTTGGGTGTCCACCAGGGAGGCCTATTTCCATCAACACTACCCATGTTGTTTATTTCCACTTCTTTCTTCCACTCTCTTTTCACCTGATAGTCTGGATTCTTATCCCTTTGCCTTGAGGCTTTAAAAAAAGGGAGAAGAAAAAAGCCAGAGGAAAACCTAGGGGAATGAGGCAAGGTAGGAGAAAAACACTGAACCAGAGGATTTAGAAAGTGGGTGAAGTACAAAAAGAACCCGCGACCCATTGTCCCACAAGCTCTGTTCCTGGTGCGTGCAGTTAGAACATGCGGGGATGCCAACTGCAAGACCAGGCTTTCTCCGCAAGCAGGAGCAAGGCCTGCCTGCCTGGAACCAGAGGGCTGGGATGGCTTCTGCCTCCTGTGAAAAATGTGGAACCGGGAGAGAACCTGGAAATGTGAAGGCTCTGGTTATTTGTTTATCCAGGCAGAAAAAGGCTGGGGGGACAAAGCATAAGATGGCGGCAGACTCAAGGAAAGATGGGGTGGAAGTACTGGGAGACGTGGGGGAAATCAGACCCCAACCAATGGTAACAAAAAAGCAAATAGTTAATGGAACAAGGACCGGGAAATATAGGAAAAATTAGGTATAAATTCAAATTATCACGTAAATTCTCTGCAATATAAAAGATACCAGAGGTGAGAGAAACAAGTTTTCTGGCTTCTAAGCAATGATCAACCTATTTATATGGAAAAATGTCATTTGTGAAATATCCTGAACTTATTTACAATGGGATTTGACTCTTTTTTTTTTTTAAGTCTCTTTTTAATAAAGTGCATGTCCAGAATTGGAAGTGTGATGTGACATCCGGGAACACACATCAGAGATGAAACACATGCAGAAACAAAAATTCATTTTCAATAGAAAAGAAATGCCATTTCCAGGAGTATCAGGGGAGGTGGGAGAGAACTTGGCTGATTGTTCAGCAGAAACAAAGGAGGAATTGGCCTCAGGGTTTGTGTGGGAGGCCAGGGTGCCCCGTGATGGGAGGGAGTAGGGTATATTCTCCCAGCAGTGGAGCCGCACTACTCAACATAACTGACCCAGCCTCCGCATTACCCTCTTACAAAGGGGAATCTTGGCATCACAACTTGAAAGTTTCATTTTGCACAGGAGTGGGTCAGTACAAGAAGGAAAAAAGAATCGTTCTGGGTCCCTGGCTACTTGGCCATGAGCAGCTGTAAGTGGAGGTGACCTGAGTCCCAGCCCTGCTCTTTCACACTGAGCAAGTCATTAGAATCAGGTCTACAGTCCAAAAAGTGGGGAGAGTAGTATCTGCCCCCAGCACTTCATGGGAATGTTATAAATGTTACAAATCGTAAACCAAGCTCGATGTGAAGGAACAGTGCTTAAGAACTCTAAAGCACTGTTTCTGTGTCAAGTTTTGTTGCTGTATCCTTCAGATGGGCTTTCTGTGCATTAGTTTCATGTTTAGTTGTGTTCGGTCCAGATAGGGTGGCACCTGGCACGTTGAAGGGGCTCCCATGTGACCATAAAAACCAGCATGCCCGTCAAGTGATACTTGTGCCGTCTTTTGCTCCAGGTCCCCATGGCCTCAGAGACACCAGCCTAGAAACTGTTCTTCTCCAAGCTTCGGGCTGAGCTGAAAGGCAGATAAACAGGAAAAGATAAGCAAGTTGATTTGACATGTGAGGGTCCTGAGAAGCCAGACCCCCTCCAGGATTAGTGTTCCTTCCCTGGAGAGGGACTCTGCGCAGTTTCCTGGTAACAGTTGGCCTCTTGTTTTCCATGTGGACACCAGGTTTGGGGATCTGGGTAATCAGGAGATACCAGGTCCCCCAGCACCTTTGTTTTGTCCCCAAGTGCCTCCCTGGCAGGGGTGAAGGGACTTAGGTTTTCCCTGCCTCGTGGTCACATGGTCCCCCAGGACTGAGATGATTTCTTGGTTCAGGGACATGAAGGAGGCTTCTGTTAGGTCAGGTTGCCTCAGCCCCTCTCCTGGATTCTTCCCCTGAGCCCCAAAATCTGCTAATTGTGGCTTCTCATAAACTCTGTTACCAGGTGACCTGTGTTCACATCCCTCTCTGTCTCTCTGTCTGTCTGTCTGTCTGTCTCTCTCTCCCTGTTTTTCTTGCTCAGAAATGCCTAGGTAGGATGGAGGAGCTCAGGAAACCACCATGGACTCTTGAGCAGGCCTTTCTGCTGCCTCTGCTCCTTCCTCACACACTGGCCCCTTCCCTCCCTCTGAGAGCTGGGGACTCTTCCTGCCGGGTTGGGACCTCCTCTGCACCCAGTGTTAAATCCTTCCATGTTGGCTTCCTTTCCCTTCAACCTGACCACACATTTGCTTTATGTGTGATGTGGGTTCCTGCAGAAAAGAGACCTGGGTATGATTCAAATAAAAAGCTGTTATTAAAAACTGCTGGGGGACCTGTTGTAATTACCTGTTGGTGATTTCAGTCCCTCCACAGAGAGCCTTTCCATTCTTGCTTATATCCATTTAGCTTAATTTTACCTGGGGAGTGTTCTGTCTACATGGATTCAGGTGAGGAGTTTCTCTCCAAATCCAAGGCCCTCGCCCTCTTCCTTTCTCCTTGACTTTAACATCAACACATCTTCTGCCTGTGGCCTTTCTTGATCTTCCAGACCTTTCCTTTAGCTCAGTCATCCTAGGCCTCCTTCATCCCACACATTTCCCTTTCTAACCCTAGAATCTTCTTTAACCTTCTCTACCAGGTCTGTGTCTTCACCTTGGGGGCTTCTTAAAGTGTCAAATCACAATGTCAAATGCCTTTTCTAAAAAGAACCCACCTGGTTTCCACCTGGCAAGGAGCCATCTCTATGGGGCAAGAGGGCTGTTCTCCTTGCTGGAGCCCCTCACCCACTCTGACCCTGGGTCCTGGTTATCAGTGACTCAGGACCCTCCTTGTCTAATCCATCCCATGCAGAGTGGAAATTGAATGCTTTCTTTATTCTTCAATTAGCTTTTCTAGATTATGCTTGCCACGTGTTAATTTTTCAGGAAAAAGAAGTTGTAAAAATTAAATTTGGGCTTGTGATCATTAATGGAAAAAGACTTAAATATTCATCTCCAAGACATATAATTATCACCCTCTTAGAGACCATTTGTAAGGTCTCAGCAACCTTTCAAATGTTACGTTTTCCCTCGAGGGTTTGCTCCAGGTAGCTGGGAGCTACCTGGCCGCCTTGGTGGCTCTGCTCTCCCTCATGCCAGACTGTTGCATTAGGAGCTGCCTGCCCAGGCCCAGGGCTGGAGGTTGCTCTGACTCCTGCAGAAATGTTACAACCTCCCAGCTACTATGTTCCCCGTCCAGTGTGGGAGGAAAGCATCAGCCAGGTGTGAAAGAAGGTTCTGAGCTTTTGGTGGCGGGGGTAGTTTGTGGCTGTTCCCAGTCGAGTGCGTCTTTGAGTTCAGCCATCCTCAGCTTCTGAAATTGAGGAGAGACCTTCTGTTTTATGTGTGCTCACAAGCACAAGTTTAGATGAATCTCTAGCTCTAGGGAAAAGAGACCCTGTAAGCATCCTAGAATCTTATGTACAAAGAAAACAACATTTTGCTTTAAGAGATTTCAAAATCACCTGCATATAGCAAAACAGAAATGACTCAGCAGCCTAACTTTAAGAAGACACATAGATTCAATTGATCAGATTTTCAAAAGGGGGAAAGAAATTCCAGCCATAACTGGAAAATACAGGCCTCTTTTCAAGTTCCGAACACAGCTTTGGAAGAGCACAGACAAAAGTCTCATTGTCTGCAAGGCCCCTGCTGCTTCAAGGGGTCCCCAGACCATCCTCTTTTGATTCAGAGGTGGAGCAGACCCTTTTTGTCACATAACTGCCATCTCGGCTGCCCCCATACCGCCAGGTCAGGCCTCACAATCACACTGAGTTCTGTGGGGAAGCCCCTGAAGAACACTCTTTCTGATGCGAGCAGTGAGTGACATTCCCCTGCTCCCCTCAGACAGACTATTCATGGGGGCTGCCTGATGGTCACCCGGTGAGCTGGGAGGGCACACTGGAATGGTGGGGAGAGGCTGGAACCCTGTTGTCTTTCTTTCCTGGGAACTGCTTTTCTGAAGCAACTGAATGAGACCTTTACAGGCAAGGGTAGTGGCCTCTCCTTCAGAATGCCTGGCCCACTTCCCAGTGTGAAACATTCCCCAAATATGCAACTCTGTGAGTGTCCCAGCCGCCTGACAGCCGCCTGCTGTGGGAGAGCTGGTACCCAGGGGATGCGGGGGTGGGGGCGCCTGCAGGACCCTCTACCCAGCTGTGGCTTTGCCAGATTGGCCCAGGAGGCTCGGCCCCTGTCCTGGAGGAGAATCTGGCCCACAGTCCAGCCGTGACAAGAGCACACAACTTCCCTCTCTCCTTTTAAGTCCCCTCCTTCGTCCTAATAAATCCTATAAAAAGGCTTTTGTTGAAGGAGCAGCCATTGCATCTTGGTGCATGGACATCGCTGGTGTCATTCCTCCGGGTGTTTTCCAAAGATGGATGAGAAGAACATCAGTAGCTGAATTCCTGGGTGAACAGGTCTGGAAATTGGCTTGGGAGGAGTGGAGGTAGTCGACAGCTGTCACATGGCATTTGTTTTGTTTGCAATTGATGAAGCCAAGGAGGAGGGGAACTGCCGGAGGATGGTAAGAAGCCCCTTCAGGGAGCACCTGGCAGCAGGCGGCCTCTGGGACCTGGGTGGGATGGAGTGTGGCTGTGCCGGCTGCAGTGAGCTGGGTTGGGGGCAGGATGTAGGATCACTTAGGAAAGAAAGGGGCTCTGAGACCACTACTGTCTCTTGGGGTGGGCATTCCTTCTATGAACTTACTCATTTACTTTTATGAATTCCTTCAGAATATAGTCAGGGACAGTGGTCAGACCCCTGCATGGGGCTGCCTGATACTTCGGGTACTCAGGTCAAACTTATGAGAAGGGAGATGACTGCTTCTCTTTGGTCTCACACTGTAGCTTAATTTCCACCCAACTTCCTGCCTTCAAAGATCCTGAAATCTTTGTTCAAGGAGGGACTCAGAGGCCACTTGATAGAGGATGGATTTGTGTGTTTTGCTGACTTTCGTTTTATCATTTCCTTATTATTTAATTTGCTTTTCTTTGGCTTGAGCTTTAAATGCACATATTCGTAAAAAACAAAAAAACAACGAAAAAGCCAAAAGCAGTTTCCAATAAATTACAGAATTCAGCATTCATAAATAAAGGAACTTTCTTTTCTATGTTTTGGGTTTTTTGTTTTGTTTTGTTTTGTTTTTTGTAAAGAACTATGTAGCATTGTCCTGATTTGAAGTTTTTTCATTTTTAGGTGTTTGGAGTAAGGCACTGCATACTTTCACTTAATTTTACTTATGTTTATGTAGGTAGTTCTTTGTTTGTTTTGTCTTGTTTATTGATTAGTATTCTTCTCCTAAAGCTTTGAGGCTTCTTCTTTAAGCACATCTCTGATTTTATTCATTTATTCATCCTTTCCACGGTGAATCGGTATTCCGTTGTCTGTGCATACGGATTTTATTTGGCCTTTTCTCTAGCTCTTCTTTGACACTGGATGCCTGTGCCTTTTTGTTTCCTAATCTGGTCCCATTAACTAGCTCCATAGGGAATGACGAGGAGGGCCGTAGAGCCAGGCAACCTCGGTGCCTTCTCAGCTTGACCACTCACTCACTGGTTGGGTGAGGTGGGTACTTAATTTTCTTCTCCAGACTCATCATCTTCAACAGTAACAGGAATTATCATGATACCTCAGTTATAAGCAAAGTTGTATATAGGAAGTCTTAGAGCAGCGCTGGACACCATTGTGGCTTAGTTTGGGCTGCTTCTATGTCTGAGGTGGGGCTAAATAATAGCTGTTAAGGAAAGCAAGATGTTGGAGGAGAGCTTGAAAATGGCGATGTTGAGAATGTCAACATATTGTCCAGAATCTGTAGGACTCCTGGTCCTTGAGGAGAAAAGGGGGAAACCCTCGGCCCTGTGCCTAGGCTGCTTGCTTTGTTTCTAACCACTTCACTGAGATGTAATTTGCATAACATATCATTCACCCATGTAAGTATACTACTACTCCATGCTGGTTGGTATATTAATTATTTTTAAAGTTGCAATAAGATATAAATAAAACAAAATCTGCCATTTTAACAATTTTTATATGTACAATTCAGTGGTGTTAATTATATTCACAAAGTTGACTAACTAACAACTAATCACCTCTATTTTCAAAATATTTCCATCACCCCAAGCAGAAACTGGACCCATAATCTCTCATGCTCCCTCCCCTGGTAACCTCTCATCTACTCTCTGTGAATTTGCTACTTCCAGCTATTTTATCGGAGCAGAATCATGTATTGGTCCATTGTGTCTGGCTTATTTCTTTGAGCATAATGTTTTCTGGGGTCGTCCATGTTGTAGCTTTATCAGCACTTCATCCTTTCCACGGTGAGTGGGTATTCTGTTGTCTGTGCGTACGTATTTTATCTGGGTTGTCTCACCTTTTGACTGCTGTGAATAATGCTGTAATTAGCATTGGTGTATAAGCACCCATTTCAGTCCCTGCTCTCCATTCCATTAGGAAGGGAATGGCTGGGTTGTTGATAATTCTGTTTTAGCTTTTTGAAGAACATTAACTTAAGCTATTTGTCTGGAAAACAGTTGCCTCTGGTCATTTTCCCCTCTCTATTTCTCTCGGTTGGTGTCCTCCTCGCTCAGATTCCAATCCGTTTCCTCGTGTTGCCCAAGCTTCCTTGTGCTTCCAAGCAGCCGATGCATTCTTATCTACCCTCCAACCACGTGTCTCCCCCCGACTTTCCGAGGGATGCCCTTCTTCTCTATCAGCTGGCAGAGCACACACAGCCGGCTGTGGCTGCACACCCCCTGATGGCTTTCATCTGGCTGGCAAGGGGGGGGGGGTGTTGAGGCCACCAAAAACCTCCTGTCCACCCTGGCTGGAGGGCTGTTCAGCCGCAGGATGACCCTGTGAGATGGGGGAAGGCTGGGATGTGGAGCTGGGTCCCGCAGGGCTTCAGTCCTCCCACACACCTTGATTCTCCGTCAACCTTGCTTGTCTTTAGGGGGGCCCTTTGGCCACACTGTCCAGCAGGAGGGTTGTTCTTCCCTTTTCATTTGCCCACAGTTTCTCCACTTTTCTATGAGCAAGTGAATTAATTAAGGAATCCCCCAACACACTTCGAGCCTGCCTCAGACAGCCATTCTGGTTGTTGGGCTAATTGTTAGTCCGGGTTTCTGGATGTCATTCATTTCACAATGAGGCTCCTAATTAATCTCAGCGCAGTTCTCACCAGAAGAAAGGCTGATAGGGAGAAACATCCCCGATTACCATGAGAAAAGAAATGTCAAGAGCCCCAGTTGAGTTTTCCTGGCATCCACGCCTAGTCTCAGAAGAAAACCGCCATTAGGGCGCTGAGGCTGCCTGGCGATCCCACCATGAAAACTAGAGTGTGAGGGGTCACCGATCTGCAGGCCACACGGACCCAGCGCCGGGTGGAGCCTGCTGCCCGCACCCTCTTCATCGGGAGCCCCGATTGTGTTTCCCCAGAGAGTGCAGAGAACTCGGTGCCCCTTGCCACCTTGGAGGCAGAAATTCTTCCCTGAAGCAGGCAGGCTTTTCATCCGGAAAAAGCTAAAGATCTGCTCTTTGTGTGTTTGTGTGTTTTTCGTGCCTGCAGGACAAAAGATCCTTCATCACCGAAGTGACGTTCTAGAAACAGTGGTCCTGATCAACCCTTCAGATGAAGCCGTCAGCACTGAGGTAAGCATTCGTCCCTTGGGCAGGGTCTCCCACACTGACTCCAGGGGCTGGACAGGAGGGGGCCAGCCAGGGTCATGAGAGGAGGAGAAATCCTGGGTGCAGGGGTTTTCCTTAACCTGCACTCAGTGGCTGGTTCTCTGCATCAGCACCACCTCAGACAGCGCCTCCCGGTAAGGACAAATAGAAGATGCTCCTGGGGCTGTCATACTTTGCGGGGGCGGGGGGGGGGAACAGTGTAGAATGGGGACATATGTGGGGTGTGTGCTGGAGGGGTGGAGTCCAGCAGGAATATAGCAGAGGAAATCGATTGTAAGCCCACCGGCTGAGGTGTACAGGAACCTAACTTGGAGAAGAATGGCACCCGAGATGCAAGCCCATTGAGAGCTCTCCTGCACAACCCTTACCCCTGCTGAAAGGCAGGACAGCACAGTGGTCAGGAGCATGGACACCACCTGGGTTCCCACTCCCAGGTCTGCCACTTACTAGCTAGTGGCTTTGGGTGGGTTATTTACTGTCTTTGTCTCAGTTTGTCCTCTGTGAAAAGGGGATCGTAACAGTCCCTACACGGAATGTGCATACATAATGTGGTACTTCGAAGTACTTTGAACAGAGTGTGGCATGTGATGACGAAAGCGTGTTGGCTATTATTGTTCCCAACATATGAAAGTATAGTCAGAGTAACTGGGAATTTCAGAACCCACTGTGACAAAGAACTAGGCTGAAGCCCACAGTCCGTGGTCACCCAGGCTCAGGAGCTGATATAACTCCATTTCCGACTTCCTTTATTAGAGTTTAGCACTTTGGAAACTGAGTTGTTTCCTGGATTTTAAAGCTGTTAAAGATGGCTTTAAGATGGAAAGCATCCATTATTTGCAATATCTTCTGCCCATATTTTGAGTATCTATGATTATACTCTATTTTTTTTCATTGAAAATAATTCATATGCATAAAAGCTATTCTTTTAAAGTATGAAATTCAGTGATTTTTGCCCTATTGGAAAGTTGTACAATCATCACCACTAATTCCAGAGCACGTCCATCATTCCCCAAACCCATTAGCAGTCACTCCCCATTCTCCCTTGCTCTGGCAACCCATAACCTAATTTATGTCTATAGATTTGCCTGTTTTAGACATTTCATATAACCTGTGCCCTTTTTATCTGGCTTATTTTACTTAGCATGATCGTTTCAAGGTTCAGCCATGTTGTCACATGTATCAGCTCTGCATTCTTTTGATGGCTCTATAATATTCCATTATGTGGATATAGCACATTTGTTTATTTGTTTTTCAGTTGCTAGATATCTGAGTTGCTTCCACTTTTTCACCGTTATAGAGTAGCCTATTCTGACTCTCTTCTCCCTGCTTCAGATGAACAAAACCTTTTTGACAATCCATTAAGGTAAAAAGTTGAGGAAAGTGAGGGAATAGCAATCTCTCTGTGACTAATGGAATCAGGGAGTAATTATAACCTGAAAAGACTGGAGGATTAATCTGTGTCCAGGCAGACTGCCTAGAACAGCTATGAGGAATGGACAAGAAAAAATAAAGATTTTTTTTAACAATTTTTTTTAGATATTAATGGACTTTTATTTTATTCATTTATTTATATGTGGTGCTGAGAATCAAACCCAGTGCCTCACACATGCTAGGCAAGTGCTCTACCACTGAGCCACAACTGCAGCCCACAAAAATAAGGATTTTGAAAAAGGAATCCAGGCTTGCCTGCAGAGCAACTGGGACTGAAGCACTTGCTTGGGTACATGTGTCTTCCCATGATGAGACTGTGAGGTCCTTGGGCCAGGAGGGGTCCTGGTCTGTTTACTTCTGCCCTCTGCCCTCAGTGCTTCCCATGATGCCTGGCACCCAGTATGTGTCAAACATTCACGAATTGGACCCAGAACAGATATCTTTGTGCTCAGACTGGTGTTTCTGCTGAAGGACAGCTGGCTTCCTGCCACATAAAGTTCACAGAGAGTTCTTTAGTGCAAACCATTTGCAATTCAGTTTCAGAGATCACTGTTGAGGGGAAGCCTTTCAGTCATGCTCAGTGTCCTGCACCTTGCAGATCCCACTGGAGACTGCCTTTGGAGCCTTGTGCCTGCTCTAGGAAGGAAAGGACCCGAGGTGGGAGGGGCTGGCCTGGACCCTGGCTGGAAGCCTCTCCTTCCCGAGGGGGCCGTTGGGCTGTACGTGGTGACTCAGTCTGTGAGATTTTGGCAAGACGGCCCTGGTCTCCCAGACTGCCTGCTGCTAGCAGTCACTTCCGAACAGCTGTGGAGCACATGCCTGCCAGCTGTGAAGGCTGCCTTGAAAACCAGGAGGAGACTAGGAGAGAAAGTCAACTGCATGACTGTCTGGGTTATAGCAGAACTTTGGAAACGGTGTTGATGGGTGAACTCCCAGTGGCTGTGTCCATAAAGTTTGCAGATAATTCCTGCAGCCACTGCTGCTCTCAGCCCTGCCTGCCCCAACCCCGACCAACCCCAGGGGAAGAAAGTAGACTCCCAGGGCCTGAACGCCTTTGGTTGATAACTTCATGTGCCCCAAAGCCCCGTCCTGGAGGCGGGTGGCAGTGCTCCCCACGGCTCATGGCTGGTTCCCTGTGTTTGATTTCAGGTGCGCCTGATGATCACCGACGCTGCCCGACACAAGCTGCTCGTGCTGACCGGGCAGTGCTTCGAAAACACTGGAGAGCTCATTCTGCAGTCTGGCTCTTTCTCCTTCCAGAACTTCATAGAGATCTTCACCGATCAAGAGGTGGGCTCCTTTCTGGGGATAGCTCAACTTCCAGTTGTTTGATAATTATTTAGCTGTAGGCTCTTCTTTGAAAGCACTTGGGAGATAGAAAGAGGAGAGGAAGTCTTATGGCTCCTTTGAAATAAGCAAAACTGTGTGTGATCCAAAGTACTTTATTCTTATGGTTTATCATGGAAAGAATCTAGAGCACTCATCGGTAATTATTTGGAATCACCTGATGTGCTGGAGACTAGCTAGGTGTGTGTTGGGGGCGGGGTGTTTAGAAATAGAGTTCACAGATAGCATCTGGGCATGGTGGTGCATGCCTGTAATCTCAGTGACTCAGAGGGCTGAGGTAGGAGGATCACGAGTTCAAAGCCAGCCTCAGCAAAGGCGAGGCACTAAGCAACTCAGTGAGACCCTGTTTCTAAATAAAATACAAAATAGGGCTGGGGATGTGGCTCAGTGGTCAAGTGCCCCTGAATTCAATCCCAGTACAAAAAAAAAAATGTTTACAGATAGCAGAAATAATGGGGAGACTTGGAATGGCAGAGCCAAATAGAAAATTCAGGTGTCCAGTTTTCTGCAAGAATACTTCGAAGATCCCTTTAGCTTTTGGTAGGCTGTCCCTGTTTTGATCTCTTTCAATATTTGTGCTTACTTTCCTTGGCCTAATTATTTTTTTATTTCTCTTTGCTTTAATCCCAGTGTTTGAACTTGGGCTGTATAAATAGTCCACTAAAGAGAGAGGGCTCTGGAATGGGAGGCATATAGGAAAATGGGCCATGTCTGTGACCCCAAAAAAAGATGGTTGAAGTAGCTAAAATGGAGCTGGATCATTAATATTTCTCGGAAAGATATCTTACTCGAGGAAGATACTTATGAAGTATTGAAAACTATAGGAAGCTAATAGTATTTGGTGAAATCAAATGAAAGATTTGAATTTGTTTATTTCTACTTGAGAATTTGTCCTGGCTGAGAAACTTTCCAAAATAATGTGCCTTTTTGATTTAGCCCATTTGTTCAGTGGTTACAGATAGAGTTCAGGACCATCACTGGGGCCTGCCTGTAGCTGATAGCAGATTTCTAAACGGAGAAGCTGGGGATCTGCTGATGCGGAGGTGCCAGGACCATTTAAAACTGTCTTCTTGCGACGGCAGCTTGTCCATCTCCTGTGTGTCATGAAAGGCCAAGTGTCTTTCTGTATTTAATCTCCCTTTGCCTGATGGTTCTTGGAAAAGTCCCTGTGTACTTTTCCTCACCCACAAGAGCTGTAAGAAAACTGCCCAATTTCATTTAGTTTACCTCTGTAAAAACACAGGTCAGATAAAAAAATGATTTTCACTCTCCACCCACGGGGGACCAAGACACAACATGACTGTGAAAATGAACATTTCACTTAACACTCGAAGCCACAGCCCTCCAAGGTGTGGGGTCATCTGCAGCTGGAAGCATAGGACACTGGTTCCCCAAAGCAAAAAGCTGTCCCCCAGGCATCAAGTAGTCCCTTCCTCTAAGCATTCAAGGCTCTTGGACCTGGTATCTCTTTGCCACTTCAGAATGGAAATTTGGCTCATTTTTTTTTTTTTTTGGATACTGGGGATTGAACCCAGGGGGCACTTTACCACTTAGCTACACCCCTAGTCCTTTTTTGTTTGTTTTGAGACAAGGTCTCACTAGCTAAGTCTGGTCTTTAACTTGCAATCCTCCTGCCTCAGCCTCCTGCATTGCTGGAATTATAAGTAAGCATGCACCGCATGCACCACCCTGCCCTGCCCTTTGGCTCTTTCTCCAGAGCTTGAGATCTGTCTTCCCCCCAAGCTATTAGGGGCAGCCTCCATGCCTCATTGATTCTGGTCTCCATGGCTCCCACATGTAGTAAAGGCCCAGTAAACCATCACTGAATGGCATTGAAATTCCTGAGCTTGAGCTATAATTCTTGCTCTGTCTACTGTTCTGAGATTGATGTGTGATCACTGGAAGGACAGACTCTTTTGTAAGATTGTATCCTCAAGTGCATGCTGTACCTGGGGCAGATGGGCAGTGTCTGATAGCTCAGAGGCCATGCACATTATCAGTATCTTGTCCCAGGGAGGCAGGAGAGCTGCAGAGGACAGGAGTTGGTGCAGTGGTGGGCAGCCAACCCCACGGAACCTCTGGCTCTTTACTCTGCACCTGGACACCTTTCTGCATTTCTGTGCATTTCTGCAGTTGGTTTCTAGTGGTTGGTTTCTCCCCAAGCCATTGGTTTCCTTTTTTTTTTTTTTTTTTTTTTTTGCCATGAAACCAAGCAAAGGCAATATGTAAAGAAAAGGGTTTGTCATTGCCAAAATTTTACATAAGGAGATATCATGTTTCATCCACCTGAAGAATAGTGTTAAGAATATTACCATTTAAGTCATTTTTACAGACCATGGAAGTGGAGCTGTGGCGCAATGGGCTAGGCATGTGTCTGATTTTTACCAGTAACTACAGAAGAAAAATGAACCACCTCACCTGAAGAATTAAGAGTTCTGTGGAAGGGCAGGTTCCCAGGGTTCATAATCATAGGGTTGTTCTGAAGGGTGCACATCTTCATTATACTCAGGCAGGTATTGTCAGGGCCAGACACTAGGTCATGTTCCCCTCTGCTGTCCTCACAATCCCTCATCCTGATACTTTGGAGAATGTAATGGTTAATGCAAATGGAAAAAGTTTTCTAGATTTTTTTTTTTCCTAACAGACTAGATCAGTGGTGTTGGGGTGGAGAGGGAAAGTGGGGGGAGAGGAGGACGATTATGAAGATCCAGTCCCTCCCTCCTGCCCCAACCAGAGCCACTCACCCTTTATCTCTCTGACATCATGAGCATTGAAGAAGGAAGCCAGAGACAAAGTGAATTAAAAATCACTGTGATGTAAGCCCAACTACCTGGGATGCCGAGGCAGCAGGACCACAAGTTCAAGGCCAGACTCAGCAACTTAGTGAAACTTTGTCTCAAAAAATAAAAAAAATGATAGAGCTCCGTGTTATGGTGTTAGAGTGCCCCGGGTACAATTCAGTCTTTGCAGCCATAAAAGGGTTGGATACAGAATGACTCAGTAGCCAAAGCACCAGAGGTCACTCTGAGTCCAGCTCCAGTCCTTTAGTCCTTGAAAAGTGCTCCTTGTCAATTCCAGAGAAACCAGGAATGACAATTTTAGAAAAACAAAAATGATACTTTTTTTTTTCTTTTTAACAAGAATAGCTACAAATAAAGGGTTTAAAAAAATAGAATTATGTACTTTGAGCTTTGGGTTTAGGGAGCATTCACACTAGAGGTCAACTACAAAACTAGCTCTTGCAGACAGAGCAGCCATCTGGTCAACTCACCACCCCCCCCCCTTGAAATCCAGGGTGGCGAGTCATCGCCTCCTGGGGGCCTTTTCCTGCCTCTCTGTTGAAGTGTTTCCTTATTTGTCTTTTTATGTCTTTGAGAAAGGAACAGAATCCTTTACCACCTACAGTGTCTTAGATACCCCTAAACAACACTCAGTTTACCCTCCCCGCAAATTAATCATAAAAGCTCCTTATGTTCCTTGGTCACTGTCCTTCAAACCTGTTCCTCTGTCAGGAAAGGCAGATGAGGTGCTGTGCGGGAAATTCACGAGTTCAGTCCTGGTCATGTTTTAATACCTTGCAGTTCATTGGACTGCTGGATGGGAGTCCAGAGCTGGGGAACTTGAATTGGGCTGGAGATATTGATTTGTAATCTGCTGGTATAGTTAAAACCCAGAGGGTATTTGACACCTAGAAGACAGACGTCATGATCTAGAGAGAGACATGGTGTATCAAGACAAAGAGACCCAGATCTAGCATGTAGAAGTCAAGGCCAATGAGATGAAGCCAGCAAGGGGAAACTTGTTTTATTACGTTGTTTGATCTAGTTTCTCAAAAATGTCATGACTTAAACTGGACACCATTTCCTGGGAGTCATCTGACCAGATTAGAACTGTAAAAATCAATGACTTTGATAGTTTCCAATACAATCCTCTATTAAGCAAGTCTAAAAGTAACCTTTGACAGTCACCATATGTGATTAAATGCCAACCAGGAAGGGCACAGCCTTTGAGGAGCTCTGCAATTTGGATAATTTGGGGGAATGTCTTATTAAGTAAAAGAAAACAGCCAGGCATGGTGGCACATGCCTGAAGTCCCAGCTCCTGGGGGGGCTGAGGCAGGAGGGTCCCTTGAGCCCAGGACTTTGGAGCCAGCCTGAGCCACTTAGTGCCACTCGAAAGAAAGAAAGAAAGAAAAAGAAAACACAATTATTAATCCACAATTAAGTGCAAAACTTTAGTAGGGAATCATGCCAGTGAGGGGCCTTGGCATTAGCTTCATGATAAATCCATGACTGTCACTAAAATCCCTGAGTTTTCCCCCATGGATATTGTTGCTAAGCCACATCTCCCAATCCTGTCCTTTGCCCTGCTGGTCTATTGAACCTTACGTTTATCCCTTTAGAGTGCCACCCTGTTAGAGGTGACTTAGCCATCATCATCGAGAGCTTCCTTAAGTACTTTAATTCTGCCACCCCACATCTTTGCCAGGCCTCTGGTTTTCATGCCCTCCACTGATCCCCTAAGCACGTCCCCACCATTCTTTCCCAAGTGAATCCGCAGCAGGACAGAAATTAGTCCCGAGGCAGCCGATCACAGACCTCCGGGTTGACACTAAGTAGCACTATTTATACGGCTGCTATAAATCCACCTAATTCTGCCATCACAACGTTCAGAGATCCTGTTCAATGTTTTGCTAAAGCTGTCTGTAGTATTTCCTCATCAGCCAACCAAGTAACCTAATCAAAAAAGGAGATGTAGTTAGAAGGCCACGGTTTAGAAATAAAAGTCTTGTTTCATTAATATCATCTTCAGTAAAGCCGTTTATTTTCTTTATCGCCCTTCCTCTTCCAGCATGCCTGCATTCCATCAGGAAAAAAATAATTAACAAAAAAGATTATGTTTGCTCCGAAGAAACATTTCTCCCAGTCATGTCTACCACCCATCTTTATAAGGCCCCGGGGGAGTATTTAGTATGTTTGATAAGTACCCACAGGCTCATGTCTCTTCCTAGTGCCCACTCCAGGAAAATGGCAGGAGTGGAATTGGCTGTATTCAGTGCAATTTAATGAAACCTGCTGAGTCTGGCTATATACTAGGGAATCAAGGACATTAATTGAGATACTAGTTAACATTTAACTAAGATACAAAGACACAGAGGATGGATTAGGGGCAGAGCCCAGGAGTAGTGTACATGTTTAGCATGAACAAGCCTCTGAGTTCAATTCCCAGCACCAAACCAAAAACAGAGTGAGAGAGAGATGACGATGATGGTGTATTTCTGCTATCTGGAAACTTAGTCATATCACGGAGACGTTTTCCCAATTTGTTTAGAAGAAGCCTCCATTTCCAAGTCTAACAGCCAGTCAGAGCCCGCATGCCATTGTTGGGTTCCCCTTACTGATCCCATCCGTTTGTTGAATAAGCATCCATGGAGTGTGGCCTGGGGCTGGGCACTCTCTAGGGTACCTGTGGGCCGCCCGTAGGTCTAGAATCGGGCAGAGGGAGAAAACGGGGGCTTCGTTTCTGTGGAGCAGCTCAAGGATGTAGTGTTCCTCCTCCTCTTCCCTGTCCCATTCCGTCCCTCCTGGCTCACCGTCTCCAGTCCTTGTCTCTGCATTCTTGCCTCATCATTCTCTCATGCTTTTTTTCTAGAGGGACCAAAAACTTGTCGGAAAGAAAGAAACCTGTCCAGCAGAGCAGACTTTCTTTCCGTTCGGCCTGGTCCCTCCTAGGTTTTCTTCACCCACCCCTCTTGCTGTCTTCGTGCCGTCTGACCTCCTCAGACTCCTTTGCAACCTCATTTTGTTTTGGGGTCCTTTCCTGCACTTCATTCAACTCTCTGGGTAGAGGCAAAAAGGTGGAAAGTGGGAGATATTCCTCAAGTCTTTTTACTTCCTCCTTAAAGTTGGAGGAAGTCCACATTTCACATAAAAAGAGCTAGTGATTGATCAACCCCCATACACATGACCCCGGCTGCTGTGCTTTGTAGCTTGGGTGGAATTTCAAAAATTCATGATTAAAGATTTAGCAATTTGAGTTATCCTGAATTTGCCTCTTAAAGTGTATTACAAAATTTACATGCATAGCTTGCGTGTGCTCTGTGTGGATATTAGGTTTAAGAGAATCTATATGGGGCTATAGTGACCATGACGAGGGTCTATGCTGATTATTGGACAAGAAACCATAACTGGTACTTATGTATGCTTTGGCCAGCAAATAATTTGAGCAGGGATTTTTGCCCAAGGACAGTTGCCATGTGCTTTTTCTGTTTTCTTGGCTTCCAAACTAGGTGTCAATTCTTATTCCTTTTGTACAGGATTGTGAAGTTAGGTTAGAGGAAAATAGAAAAGTTTCGTTATTTTGCTATTTTGTGATGCTTCATCTAAAATGTTATGCTTAAGACTAATAGGCTAACAAGACAAAAATGATTATTTTCTGCAATCTAATATAGGAAAGCTCAGTCTAAATAACCCTTACACACACACCACACACACACTCTGGTAGTCATAATGTTAATATACAGGAGGTTATGAGCCAGAGGAAACCAAAGCTAGGAGGTAAGAGTTCAGATCCACTGGCCCAGGGTTGCCTGCGTGAAATAAAACCTTTGCTTTGCCTCTTTATCATTTGCTATCCAGGCCACAGAGCACTTGTCAGTTGAAACTCTGAGCTGATTTATGAGGTTTGCTGAAATGGAAAGAGCTCTGGAATTTATGGCGTGATTCCCCATTGTTATTTGCTAAGCTAAGACCATGAAACATATGGCCTTAATATGGAGTGAGAAGGAAAATAGTGCTTTCATTAAACCACAGTCACCATTTTGATCCTGATTTGCTTGTCCAAATTCCCGTCCTTGGGAAGTACTAAACAGTGTGTTGAAAAGCCTTTGAGTCCAATGTGATCTTAGCCACTCAGCACCCAGTTTGCCCTGAAAAATAAAAAAATAAAATGGGAGCAAGGCCTTACCTTGGGTTTAAACTTAAGCAAATGAGGAATGAAGTTGGCCACAGGCTTGCATAATTACCCAACCACTTGAATCATTATGGCTTCAATAAAAGCATTTGCATTTACAGAGGATCTGCTGGGTGTACCACTCATGTTTTAAGTAGAGTGCACTGATGCCAGAAACCAGGAATTTTTTTTCGTAGTAATGGGCAATCTGCAACTTCTTGTGTCCCAGGGGGGGAAAAAAACCCACCAAACTTTTTTCTTTTATGCCTACCAAATTCTGAAATGAGACAGGAAGAAGTGCATTATTATTTGAATTCCTTTTAATGTGTCCATCAGGCCTTTTTCTTTTTGCCAAGCCCAATGGATTAAAAGAAAAGGTTTTATGTCAGTGGTGAGATGACTCACATAGTCCCCTCCACACACATCCGTGATATTTAATATTTTTTTAAAGGGCATCTTTGCATGGCAAATACCCAGGGGGAATATTCAAAGTATTTTGTAACTGTGGGAGCGGAAGCACTGATCACCCAGATGGTCAGTGGTTTTGGAATTGGAGCAGAGTTCTGAAGTTCTCCTACAGGGCAAAGACATATGGGAGAAGGATTACTGGGCAGGTGTCAGGTGGAGGGGTGCTGGTGGTGGCAAAAGGGAGGAATGGGAGGCTCTAAACAGAGGCTGTTCAGCTCCCAGTATATAAATACGTCCGCATTTAAATAGCATGGCTACCCAAGTCCATCTCTGAAGCAGGTCCCAGTTGCAGTCAGTGATCCCATAATACCTGGTAATTGATGGAAGTGACGGATCAGTAATGACAGCCACTTAAACCTTTTCTTTCCTTTTTCCCTCCTTTTTTAAACCCAGATTGGGGAGTTACTGAGTACCACCCATCCTGCCAACAAAGCCAGCTTGACCCTGTTCTGTCCCGAAGAGGGGGACTGGAAGAACTCCAATCTTGACAGACACAATCTCCAAGACTTCATCAATATCAAACTCAACTCAGCTTCTATATTGCCAGAAATGGAAGGACTTTCTGAGTTTACCGAGTACCTCTCAGAATCAGTGGAAGTCCCATCTCCCTTTGACATCCTGGAACCTCCCACATCGGGTGGATTTCTGAAGCTCTCCAAGCCCTGCTGTTATATTTTCCCAGGAGGGCGGGGTGATTCTGCCCTGTTCGCTGTGAACGGATTCAATATGCTCATCAATGGAGGATCCGAAAGAAAATCCTGCTTCTGGAAGCTCATCCGACATTTGGACCGGGTGGACTCCATCCTGCTCACCCACATTGGGGATGACAATTTGCCCGGAATCAACAGCATGCTGCAGCGGAAGATCGCAGAGCTGGAGGAAGAGCAGTCCCAGGGTTCCACCACCAACAGTGACTGGATGAAAAACCTTATCTCCCCTGACTTAGGGGTCGTATTTCTCAATGTACCTGAAAACCTGAAAAACCCAGAGCCGAATATCAAGATGAAGAGAAGCATAGAAGAAGCTTGCTTCACACTCCAGTACCTAAACAAATTGTCCATGAAACCAGAGCCTCTCTTCCGAAGTGTCGGCAATACCATTGATCCTGTCATTCTTTTCCAAAAAATGGGAGTGGGGAAGCTTGAGATGTACGTGCTTAACCCCGTCAAGAGCAGCAAGGAAATGCAGTATTTTATGCAGCAATGGACTGGCACCAACAAAGACAAGGCTGAACTGATCCTGCCCAATGGTCAAGAAGTAGACATCCCAATTTCCTACCTGACGTCCGTCTCCTCTTTGATCGTGTGGCATCCAGCAAACCCTGCTGAGAAAATCATTCGAGTTCTGTTTCCTGGAAATAGCACCCAGTACAACATCCTGGAAGGGCTAGAAAAGCTCAAACATTTAGACTTCCTGAAGCAGCCGCTGGCCACCCAAAAGGATCTCACGGGCCAGGTGCCCACCCCGACCGTGAAACAAGTAAAACTGAAGCAGAGGGCCGACAGCCGAGAGAGTCTCAAGCCAGCCGCCAAACCGGTGGCCAGCAAATCGGTGCGCAAGGAGTCGAAAGAAGAAACCCCCGAGGTCACAAAAGCTAATCAGGTGGAAAAGCCACCCAAAGTCGAAAGCAAAGAAAAGGTGATCGTGAAAAAAGACAAGCCGGTCAAAACAGAGACCAAACCTCCCGTGACGGAAAAGGAGGCACCCAGCAAAGAGGAGCAGCCTCCCGCCAAAACCGACGTGGCCGAGAAGCAAGCCACGGACGTCAAGCCCAAGACGGCCAAAGAGAAGATCGTGAAAAAAGAGACCAAGACCAAACCCGAGGAGAAGAAGGAGGAGAAGGAGAAGCCCAAAAAGGAAGTGGCTAAAAAGGAGGACAAAACACCTGTCAAGAAGGAGGAGAAACCCAAAAAGGAAGAGGTAAAGAAGGAAGTCAAGAAAGAAGTCAAGAAGGAAGAGAAAAAAGAACCCAAGAAAGAGGTTAAGAAAGAAACGCCGCTGAAGGATGCCAAGAAGGAAGGGAAGAAGGAAGAAAAGAAGGACATGAAAAAGGAGGAGAAGGAGCCCAAAAAAGAAATCAAGAAACTCTCTAAGGACTCCAAGAAACCATCGACGCCCCTCTCTGAAGCAAAAAAACCAGCGTCTTTAAAACCAAAAGTACCCAAGAAGGAAGAGCCGGTCAAGAAGGAGTCTGCAGCTGCTGGGAAGCCAAAGGAGAAGGGGAAGATTAAAGTCGTCAAGAAGGAGGGCAAGACTGCCGAGGCTGCAGCTGCAGCGGTCGGCGCCGTGGCCACCTCGGCAGCCGCTGTGGCAGCGGCTGGGATAGCAGCCACCGGCCCTGCCAAAGAACTGGAGGCCGAGAGGTCTCTTATGTCATCCCCTGAGGATCTCACCAAGGACTTTGAAGAGCTAAAGGCGGAAGAGATTGATGTAGCCAAGGACATCAAGCCCCAGCTGGAACTCATCGAAGACGAAGAGAAACTGAAGGGAACCGAGCCAGTGGACGCCTACGTCCTCCAAGTCATCAAAGGTTCTGCCGAGTCTCCCGATGAGGGGATCACCACCACTGAAGGGGAGGGCGAATGCGAGCAAACGCCGGAAGAGCTGGAGCCGGTCGAGAAACCGGGGGTGGACGACATTGAAAAATTTGAAGATGAAGGAGCTGGTTTCGAGGAGTCCTCGGAGACGGGAGATTATGAGGAGAAGGCAGAAACCGAGGAGGCTGAGGAGCCCGAAGAAGATGGTGAGGAAAACGTGTGCACCTCCAAGCACAGCCCCACGGAGGATGAGGAGAGTGCCAAGGCAGAGGCAGATGTGCACATCAAGGAGAAGAGGGAGTCTGTGGCCAGTGGGGACGACCGGGCAGAAGAAGACATGGACGAGGCCGTTGAGAAAGGAGAAGCTGAACAATCTGAGGAGGAGGAGGCCGAAGAGGAGGACAAAGCAGAGGATGCCAGAGATGAATATGAGCCGGAAAAAATGGAAGCTGAAGATTATGTGATGGCCGTGGTTGACAAGGCTGCGGAGGCTGGGGGTGCCGAGGATCAGTATGGATTCCTCACCACATCAGCCAAGCAACCGGGAGTCCAGTCTCCTGGCCGAGAACCTGCTTCTTCAATTCACGATGAGACTCTACCTGGAGGCTCAGAGAGTGAGGCCACTGCTTCTGATGAGGAGAATCGAGAAGACCAGCCTGAGGAATTCACTGCCACCTCTGGCTACACTCAGTCTACCATTGAGATATCTAGCGAGCCCACCCCCATGGATGAGATGTCTACTCCTCGAGATGTGATGAGTGACGAGACCAACAACGAAGAGACAGAGTCCCCATCTCAGGAATTCATAAACATCACCAAATACGAGTCTTCACTGTATTCTCAGGAATACTCCAAAACGACCGTCACCCCATTCAACGGATTATCCGATGGGTCAAAAACCGATGCCACCGAGGGCAAGGATTATAATGCTTCAGCCTCCACCATATCCCCACCCTCCTCCATGGAGGAAGACAAATTCAGCAAATCTGCTCTACGTGATGCTTACTATTCAGAAGAGAAGGAGGTGAAAGCGAGTGCCACGTTGGAGATCAAAGATACCGTCTCCCCGGTTTCGGATGAGAAGCTTAGCCCAGCCAAGAGTCCATCCTCGAGTCTGTCTCCGCCGTCACCCATAGAGAAGACCCCCCTGGGTGAACGTAGTGTGAACTTCTCTCTGACGCCCAATGAGATTACAGTCTCCACAGAGGCCGAAGTGGTCCCTGTGTCTCCTGAGGTGACCCAGGAAGTAGTTGAAGAACATTGTGCTAGTCCTGAGGAGAAGACTCTGGAAGTGGTGTCTCCGTCACAGTCTGTGACTGGCAGTGCCGGCCACACACCTTACTACCAATCTCCCACCGAGGAGAAAGCTAGTCACCTCCCTACAGAGGTCACTGAAAAGCCAGCAGCAGTGCCAGTGAGCTTTGAATTCAGTGATGCCAAAGATGAGAGTGAAAGGGCTTCCATAAGCCCCATGGATGAACCCGTGCCTGACTCAGAGTCACCTATGGAAAAAGTCCTGTCTCCTTTACGCAGCCCTCCCCTGATTGGATCCGAGTCTGCATATGAAAGTTTTCTCAGTGCTGATGACAAGGCTCCTGGCAGATGTGCCCAAAGCCCCTTTGAAGGAAAGAATGGAAAACAAGACTTTGCAGACCAAGTCAGTCCAGTTTCTGAAATGACGTCCCCTGGTCTTTACCAAGACAAACAGGAGGTCAGAAGTACAGACTTCACCCCAATCAAGGAAGACTTTGGTCCAGAAAAGAAAACCGATGATGTTGAAGCCATGAGTTCTCAACCAGCACTGGCTTTGGATGAAAGGAAATTGGGAGGAGATGTCTCTCCAACCCAAATAGATGTCAGTCAGTTTGGATCTTTCAAAGAAGATACCAAGATGTCCATTTCTGAAGGCACCGTCTCAGACAAGTCAGCCACTCCTGTTGATGAGGGCGTAGCAGAAGACACCTACTCTCACATGGAGGGTGTGGCCTCGGTCTCCACCGCCTCCGTGGCTACGAGCTCATTTCCGGAACCAACAACAGATGATGTGTCTCCTTCTCTGCATGCGGAAGTTGGCTCCCCACATTCCACAGAAGTCGATGACTCCCTTTCAGTGTCTGTTGTGCAAACGCCTACCACTTTCCAGGAGACAGAGATGTCTCCATCTAAAGAAGAATGCCCAAGACCAATGTCAATTTCTCCTCCAGATTTTTCCCCCAAGACAGCCAAATCCAGGACACCAGTTCAAGATCACAGATCGGAACAGTCCTCGATGTCTATTGAGTTTGGCCAAGAATCTCCTGAGCACTCCCTTGCTATGGACTTCAGTCGACAGTCTCCAGATCACCCTGCGGTGGGTGCAAGTATGCTTCACATCACTGAAAATGGGCCAACTGAAGTGGACTATAGTCCTTCTGACATGCAAGACTCCAGTTTATCACATAAGATACCACCAACGGAGGAGCAGTCCTATACCCAAGATAATGATCTCTCCGAGCTCATCTCAGTGTCTCAGGTGGAGGCCTCCCCGTCCACCTCTTCTGCTCATACCCCATCTCAGATAGCTTCTCCCCTGCAAGAAGAAACTCTATCCGATGTTGCTCCTCCCAGAGAGATGTCCTTATATGCCTCACTCACCTCTGAGAAGGAGCAAAGTCTGGAAGGAGAGAAGCTCTCTCCAAAATCTGATATCTCTCCACTCACCCCACGAGAGTCCTCTCCTTTATATTCACCTGGTTTTTCAGATTCTACCTCTGCCGTCAAAGAGAACACAACAGCTTGCCATACCTCCTCATCTCCACCTATAGACGCAGCATCTGCAGAGCCCTTTGGCTACCGTGCCTCCATGTTATTCGATACGATGCAACATCATCTTGCCTTGAATAGAGATTTGGCCACATCTGGCATGGAGAATGACAATGGAGGAAAGACACCTGGTGACTTTAGCTATGTCTATCAAAAGTCTGAGAAAACCACCAGGTCCCCAGATGAAGAAGATTATGACTATGAGTCTTCTGAGAAAACCTCCAGAACCCCAGATGTGGGCAGCTATTACTATGAGAAGACGGAGAGAACCATAAAATCTGCATGTGACAGTGGCTACTCCTACGAGACCATTGAGAAGACCATCAAGGCCCCTGAAGATGGTGGCTATGCCTGTGAAATCACCGAGAAGACCACACGGACCCCTGAAGAGGGCGGCTACTCTTACGAGATAAGTGAGAAGACCACACGGACCCCTGAAGTGAGCGGTTACAGCTATGAAAAGACCGAGAGGGCCAGACGGCTCCTGGATGACATCAGCAATGGCTATGACGACTCTGAGGAGGGTGGCCACACACCCGGGGATGCCAGCTACTCTTATGAGACCACTGAGAAAATTTCCAGCTTCCCTGAATCTGAAAGTTACTCCTACGAGACGTCTACAAAAACAGCCAGAAGCCCTGATAGCTCTACATACTGTTATGAGACGATGGAGAGAATCACTAAAACCCCCCAGGCATCTACATATTCTTACGAGACTTCAGATCGCTGCTACACTGCGGAGAAGAAGTCCCCCTCGGAGGCCCGCCAGGATGTGGATTTATGCCTCGTGTCCTCCTGTGAGTACAAGCATCCCAAGACAGAGCTCTCACCCTCCTTCATCAATCCCAACCCTCTGGAGTGGTTTGCCAGTGAAGAGCCCACTGAAGAATCTGAGAAGCCCCTCACTCAGTCAGGGGGAGCCCCACCACCCCCAGGAGGAAAGCAGCAGGGACGACAGTGTGATGAGACCCCACCTACCTCAGTCAGTGAGTCGGCCCCATCCCAGACCGACTCTGATGTCCCTCCAGAGACGGAAGAGTGTCCTTCCATCACAGCCGATGCAAACATCGACTCCGAAGATGAGTCAGAAACCATCCCCACAGACAAAACTGTCACGTACAAGCACATGGACCCCCCGCCTGCCCCCATGCAGGACCGCAGCCCTTCTCCACGCCACCCTGACGTGTCCATGGTCGACCCAGAGGCCTTGGCCATTGAGCAGAACCTGGGCAAAGCTCTGAAGAAGGACCTGAAAGAGAAGACTAAGACCAAGAAGCCAGGGACAAAGACCAAGTCCTCGTCACCTGTCAAAAAGGGGGACGGGAAGTCCAAGCCCTCAGCAGCTTCACCAAAACCGGGGGCCTTGAAAGATACCTCAGATAAGGTGTCCAGAGTGGCTTCTCCTAAGAAGAAAGAATCTGTGGAAAAAGCAGCGAAAACCACCGCCACTCCTGAAGTCAAAGCTGTGCGAGGGGAAGAGAAGGACAAGGAGACCAAGAATGCCGCCAACGCTTCCGCATCCAAATCAGCAAAGACTGCCACCGCAGGTAGGCCCAGGGCACCGGGCATCCTTGGGAGGTCATGGAGTTCTGTCCCTGTTTGACTTTGTGCTGGGAGGACAGGGGAGCAAACATGGATGCTTCACTTCCCCCCATTACTCTCTCCTGCTGAAGGTCTGTTTCTGAGCCCAGTGTGGACTTGGGCTTAGGGGTAGCTCAGAGTATGGCCCAGAGCAGCTCTGATGGGACAGTGGGATTCCTGGCTTTGCACCATTCTGGAGTATAGCAACTGCATTCCTGATGGAAACCTTCAGAGCCAGGGGTATGAGTTTCAAGCTGCTCTGAAGACTGGCTTCAGATGTGCCGGCCGAGGTTACAAGGGCTAGAAGCTCCAAAAGGCCTAGAGAGAACTAGAAATTCCATCCCAACCCCCAATGACCTGCCAAGGCCCAGGATTTTAGAGTCCTATTTTTTTTAAAATAAGATTTTTAAAAATAAAATCATGAAAATTTAATATTATCATTTTTTTTTATTTAATGAAAAAAATGACCAGTTTGGAGATACATTCCCATTGAAGGAAATGTTGTTTTCTTATCAGCTAACATACACTGTAATTCCAGTTGATATTTCTGACTTCTGATCATTCCTGATTTGCCTCTGAGTCTCAGATTTATCAGTTTATAGTAGTGATTTGGGATTTTGATGACACTGGACTTTGGTAGCACAGCTTCATCTTGTTGCTTCTAAGTAGTCATGAGGATTTGTACTAAAGCTCTTTTTTTCTTTCTTTCTTTATGTAATTATCCAGGGATTTTTAGATCACCATTCACAAAGGCATATAAATTGACCCAAAATCATGAAACAAAAAATAATTTGAATAATATTTCCTTGATTTATTAGAGAATATCAGAGAGATGACCCTTTGGGGCTCTCAAATTCCATGCATTTTATGGTATCTTGGTTACAGATGCAGATTTTACTTTATGTGAAGCATCAATTTGAAGACTCAGTTCTTACGAGATTGGGTCTTTTTATGTACACAGAGAAAATAAATGGAATTTGTTCATGCTTAGTATAAATATAAACCCACCAGATAATTAACCCTTTGGTCTGAAAGAGCTGATGACCTGCACTAAGGAGAAAGCATGGAATCCCTTCAAATTAATAATAATAATAAAAAAAAACAGATGAAATTTTGCAGAACATATACACCCTAGCCCACGGAATTGATATTAAAAAAAAAAAAAAGACTTTCTTGAACATTTAAGGAGACAATTTAAAGACAAAGTAATAAAGAGGATTTAATTTTTATTTACTTTGAAGATGCTTTTAGATTTCTAAAAAGACAAAGTTGCCCATTTAACTGATTTTAAAAGCAAATTTGGGTGGACTTCTGGTGATTTCCAGTTTGTGCTTCTATGAGCATTATTAATTTGGTTTTGATGGTAGCAGTTTAATATTCAAGATAAAATTGCAAACAAATTTAATTATTAGAACAGCAATTCAAACTTCTGTTAGAGTCAGGATTCTTTAGAATGTCCCCAAATGGTTGCTTACAGCTCAGATTGACTAAAATGGTCTGTGAATGTATTTATAAAATGAGCTTATTTACCTCAAACATTAATTTGGCAGATTCTTGCTACTTCCTTAACCCACTAAAAGTAAATCTGGGCAATTGATGGAATTCACTGGAACTTTTTAAACTCTGAGATGAGAGTTTTTACACATCCCATGGAGAAAGGAGAGCAGGTTAAGTGTATAGAATCTCACTGGCATTTCAGATGGTTTAGGCAGTGGTCATAAACTGCACATTAGAGTCCCCTGGGGTGCTTTTAAAAGGTCATGGTGCCCAGACCCCAGCCCTAGCGCACTTAAGCAGACTCTGGAGGAGAAGGCCTTGGCATCAGTAAGCAACCAGGGTGACTCTAATCATGCAGGGAGAGTGACGGACCACTGCCCTAGAGTGTTAGCTTTACTCGTTCAAAAGCATTAAACCTTCAAACCAGAAGAAGTTAGCAAGGCAGCTGACGAAACAGGGTGCAAGGAAATTTGGGGGTTAATCTGAACTGCTTCTTTGCCCAGGCCGTTCTGGGTTAGGCTGGAAATTTTGGCTCCAAGGTGCCCCTTTCTGCAGTCTGATATGTCCTGATTGGTTAGCAAAAGCCTAGTCTTTCTAGACCTTCCTTTGCCAAATGTTGGTGTCCATCCCTGCATAGGGAGAGATGTCTCACAGTACTGTGCGAAGGCGAGAATACAGTGTTTCCTTGGGTTATGAATGGTGAGTAGGGCCCTGGAGAGCATATAGGGTGAAGATCTGAACTACTTACTAGGACAGAGGTTAGGGCATACTATTCAGCTATGGGCACAACCGCTATCAATTGATACCCTAAAGTGAACTGCTAAGATCTCTTAACTGCGGCTGGGTGTGATGACATACTTCTATAATCCCAACATCTCAGGAGGGTTGCAGGTGCGAGGACAACTTCAGCAACTTAGTGAAACCTAGTTTCAAAATAAGAAGGACTGGGGATATAGCTCAGTGGTAGAATGCCCCTGGGTTCAGTACTCAGTACCACCAAAATCGATCAGTCAATCAATCATTGCGTAACTATGGTTTGCCAGATGCAGATGCTTCTTTTTGATTTTTAAGGTGTTTCCTAGATCACTTTTCAGATTTAGATGATGTTAGTAGCTCCTTTAGGAAGGTGTTGCTATCTACTTCTGTCTTTGCAAGGGCCTTGAAACTTACTTGAAACTTCTTACTTCATAATGGGTTGTGCACAGAGGGCAAACATCCCACTCTTCGTTTCTCCTACTGAAGTGATAAACAACCATGGAATTCTCGTATCGCTAGTGTTAGATGTCCTGTACACGTTATTGGGGAGATGGAGATGCTTTCACTTCTTTGCCTATCTCAGAGAGCCTGCTTGGGGATGAGTGGGGGAGGTACATTGGACAGACAGCTCTCTTCATGTTACTGAGACCCTTGCTTTGTCTTTGTTTACCAAAGGACCAGGAGCCACCAAGACGGCCAAGTCCTCAGCTGTGCCTCCAGGCCTCCCTGTGTATTTGGACCTGTGCTATATTCCCAACCACAGCAACAGTAAGAATGTTGATGTTGAATTTTTCAAGAGAGTGAGGTCGTCCTACTATGTGGTGAGTGGGAATGACCCTGCTGCTGAGGAGCCCAGCCGGGCTGTCCTGGATGCCTTGTTGGAAGGGAAGGCTCAGTGGGGCAGCAACATGCAGGTAAGGGCCCGAGGACCTTGGCTGCACTGTGGTTGAACTGGGGCCAGAGGCAGAGGGAGGGAGCCATGTTTAGCAAGGCACCTTTGTCATTGAGGATCTGTACAAGGTGCCTCCCAAAACTGTCACACATGAAATCTCCTCAGGACAAAGTCAGTTTAACCCACAGAAGATGGTCTAAAAGAGTATTTTTTTTAATTCGTTCTTTTTAGTTATACATGACAGCAGAATCCATTTTGATCTAATTATATTAGCATTGGATATATCTTATTTTAGTTAGAATTCCATTCTAATGGATGTACATGATGGTGTTGTTTTCATATATGTACATGGGAAAACTATGTCAGATTCATTCTACTGTTTGTTCCTTGCCTATCCCCACTCCCTTCCCATCATTCCGCATTGTCTAATCCACTGCACTTCTACTCTTGCCCTCACTGCTCCTTTCACATTATCAGAGAAAATATTCAACCTTTGGTTGTTTGGACTGATTTACTTCACTTAGCACGATAGTTTTCAGATCTATCCCTTTGCTGGCACATGTTATAATTTCATTCTTCTTAATGCTGAGTAATACTCCATTGTGCATATATACCGCAGTTTCTTTATCCATTCATCTATTGAAGGACACCGAGGTTGGTTCCATAATTTAGCCATTGTGAATTGAGCTGCTATAAACATCGATGTGGCTACATCACTGTAGTATGCTGCCTTTAAGTCCTTTGGGTTTATACTGAGGAGTGGGATAACTGGGTCAAATGGTGGTTCCATTCCAAGTTTTCTGAGGAATCTCCATACTGATTTCCAGAGTGGTTGTACCAATTTGCAGTCCCACCAGCAATGAATGAGTGAACCTTTTCCCCCACATCCTCACCAACATTGTTACTTGTATTCCTGGTCATTGCCTTTCTGGCTGGAGTGAGATGGAATCTCAGTGTAATTTTAATTGCTTTTCTCTAATTGCTAGGTACGTTGAACATTTTTTCATATATTTGTTGACCCTTAATATTCTGTGAAGTGTCTGTTCAGTTTCTTTGCCCAATTATTGATTGGGTTATTATTATTGTAATTATTTTTATTTTGGTGTTAAGTTTTTTGAGTTCCTTATATATCCTGGAAATTAATGCTTTATCTGAGGTGGCAAAGATTTTCTCCATTCTGTAGGCTTTCTCTTCACACTCTTGATTGTTTTATTTAATGTGGAGAAGCTTTTTGGTTTGATGCCATCCCATTTATTGATTATTAATTTTACTTCTTGCTCTTTAGGAGTCTTATTAAGGAAGTCAGTTCCTGAGCCAATATGTTGGAAGGTTAGGGCTACATTTTCTTCTAATGTGTGCAGATTTAGTCTAATACTTAAGTTCTTAATCCACTTTAAGCTGAGTTTTGTGCAGGGAGAGAGAAAGGTGTTAAATTTAATTCTGCTGCATATGGATTTCCAGTTTCCCATCACCACTTGTTGAAGAGTCTATCTTTTGTCCAATGCATGTTATTGGCACCTTTGTCTAGTGTGAGGTAACTATATTTTTGTGGGTTTGACTCTATCTTCTTTTCTATACTATTGGTCTTTTTGCTTGTTTTAGTGCCAAAACCATGCTGTTTTTGTTACTATAGCTCTATAGTATAATTTTAGATCTGGTATTGTGATGTATCCTGCTTCACTTTTCTTGCTAAGGATTGCTTTGGCTATTCTGGGTCTCTCATTTTTCCAAATGAATTTCATGAATGCTTTTTCTATTTCTATGAAGAATGTCATTGGGATTTTAATAGGAATTGCATTCTATCTGTGTAGCACTTTTGGTAGTATGGCCATTTTGACAATATTAATTCTGCCTATCCAAGAGCTTGGGAGATCTTTCCATCTTCTAAGATCTTCAGTTTTTTTCTTTAGTGTTCTATAGTTTTCACTTTAGAGGTCTTTTGCCTCTTTTGTTAGATTGATTTCCAAGTTTTTTTTTTGTTTTGTTTGTTTTTTGAGGATATTGTGAATGGGATGGTTTTCCTAATTTCTTTTTTAGCTGATTCATCATTGTTGTACAGAAATGTAATTAATTTGGGTGTTAATTTTGTATCCTGCTACTTTGCTGAATTCATTTATGAGTTCTAGAAGTTTTTGGTAGAGTTTTTTGGGTCTTCTCAATATAAAATTATGTCATTGACTCAGAGGTATTTTGAACTCTTCTTTTCCCATTTGTATACCTTTTATTTTATTCTTTTACCTAATTGCTGTGGCTAGAGATTCAAGGACTGTGTTGAATAGAAGTGGTGAAAGTGGGCATCCCTGTGTAATTTCTGTCTAAAGTAGTATTCTTGATGCCACCAACAACCAACACTTTGGAGGAAAGCCACCTTACCTAAGGCATAATCTATTCATCTATAAAATGGACTGAAGGTTAATTGCCTTCCCCCAATATATGAGTATTGTGCATGCAAATCAAAGTGGTTATATTTCCACGGGAGAGCTGCTGAAGAAGTGCATTCACTCCTTTGTTTTTTATGGATGGACCGAAGGTAAGAACTTTAGAAAATCAACTGTCCAGGTGAAATTCCATAGTAGGAGCATTGACTCCTAAAGAATATGCCTAACTCCCAAACCAAGTGTCTAGCTATGAACCACCCTGTCAGTACGGTTGGGATCTTTGTTCATCCAAATTTTACTTATGCTTCTGCACAGGATCATTAGTAAACTATGTTTGCATACTATTAAATAGAATTGCTTATTTAATCATATGAAATCTAATGTAGCCAAGCGCATTAGATTTCACACCCCTATAATCTCAGCAACTCAGGAGGCCTGCGGTAGGAGGATGCCAAGCTTGAGGCCAGTCTCAGCAACTTGGTCAGACCATGTCTCAGGGGAGAAAAAAAAAACAACTGGGGATATAGCTAGCTCATAGCTCATTGGTGGAGTGTGCTTGGGCTCAATCCCCAGTACCACAAAAAAAGGTAAAAGAAATCTAATGTGAAACAGCCAATTGCCTCCTAAGGAATATTACATTTTTAAGTCATTAACCACCTATCCCACTCACCTACCCCCCAGCCACACATGCAAAGACACATATCTTCATTTCCAGAAAAATGTTAGTTACACCTAGTGGGTGGGTTTTCTGAGGATGTTGAGCTACAATAATAACTAAAACTCCTTTGACTAAATATACATTATCTTTTATGCAAAACTTCCTGGCTGTAAGAAATAGCCTTAATCAAGGTACTTAATGAACATTAAAGGATTGAAAAAACAACAGTGAATTTAGATGAACTAATTGACAAGTCTCTAGTTGCCTTTGGTTCTAGTCTTCCACTCTTTTTTGTGTGTATTTATTCTGGTTCCTTGCAAATGTAGGTTGAAAAAAAAGACTTGCATTCCTTGAGGAAAATAGAACATTTTTCTTTCATTCCCCATCTTCTAGTGGTCTAATACCTTGGGTTTGTACTATTTTTGCATCTGGTTTCTGTCCCTGCCCTTAAACAGCTATTTTCTCCCTGCAGGTAACTCTGATCCCAACTCATGACTCAGAAGTGATGAGGGAATGGTACCAGGAGACCCATGAGAAACAGCAAGACCTCAACATCATGGTTTTAGCCAGCAGCAGCACAGTGGTTATGCAAGATGAATCTTTCCCTGCATGCAAGATAGAACTGTAAAAACCAAGGCCAGCCACACCACAGGATTTGAACTTTGTTTCCAGAAATTCTTCAATTTGAAACTACCTTTTCTAAAACGCCAATTCATCTAATTAAGTCGCCGAACAGTTACCTGCCAAATGCTATCCTGTGTCATGGTGACGCAAGTCACTAATATTTCTCAGTTTTTGCTGATTGCTAAGGGAAGTAACAGTATTCCCACAATAGGGTTCAAGTTACTACAAAATTACCTACCCCAGTTCATCTCTGCTGAACATTTGGAAACCATGCACTAGCAAACCCAACTGACTTCTGCTAGGTAGAGGCATTTGTCTTAGAGAGAGAGAGAGAGGGAGGGAGGGAGAGAGGGAGTGAGGGAGTGAGCGCACAAAGAGAATGCAGGAGAGAGAGAGAGAGAGGAAGAATGAGAAAGAAAAAGAATGCAAGAAAAGGAGATGGAGTGGAGAGGTTCTGGTGAGATACCCAGAGAGGAAAAGAGAGAGCAGGGTGGGGTAAAGAGAAGAAAACCAACAATGAGGTCTGCATTTCCTCAGGCAGTAGGTATTCTGTAGTCTACACAGGCCAAGTTTTCCATTTTTGTCAGTCTTAAGTCATCATTTTCTAAAGCAAGCTGGCTAGAGGAATACAAAAAGAACAAAACTTGTCATGAGGGCATGTGAGATTGTCACGCCTTAATTAAGCTCCTTCAGTTTGAAGGCTGCACATTGACATGCTGTAGTGAGTGTAGACCGCACACACAAGTGGAATGAGCCCCATTCAGAACTCTCAGACTCTTTAGACACACGAGTAGATTGATCTAAGGCATGCTCCCAGCATTTGTCCACCCACTTAGTCCACACTGCGTCAATTAACCTGCATGCGTCAACGCCCAAGTCCACCCCAATTAACTGAAGCAAATACCAAAGCAGTTGGGAGTACATATGGTAGACAATTTGCCTTAGGAAGTGACTTGAATGTACAAAGATACTTGATGCACTTATTTTTTAATGAGAGACAGCAAGTTTATAAAACATCCGTGTAGGATTATAGATACTCCAGTTGAAGAAGCACGTGTGTGCACATGGGGGTTACTAGAAGTTGATCTGATTGGTCCAACAGTTTGATGCTGAGTCATGCGTGCTGAATACCACGCCAGTGCACCCGTGATCCCTCAGCCAAACAAGTTGCACCTTTCATAGCTTCTTCACTACTGCAAATTCAAGACTGAAAAGGCTTCTATGATCAGAACTGGGAAAACAGTGAATCTTATGGTGGAAGAGGTTCTCAGCAAGTGTACAGTATTTACCTTCCTTTGTCTTACATTGGCTTTTTTAATTTTCCATTAATTTCAACATGATTATGGGAACAAGTGTACAGAACTTTTTTTTTTTTAGCTATGTGAGAACTTTTCATAGATGAACTTTTTAACTAACGTTTTAATTTACAGGAAAATACAAAAGAAAAATTTCAAGCGATAGTCTTTTTTTTTTAAGTGTTTCATAAGACAAAAATTGAATAATTTTTTGAAGTTCTGGCAAGATTGAAGTCTTAAGATTGCAGTAATAATATTTATTAAAAACCCAAAACTACCAGGAAGAATGATACCTCCCACCTTTTGATTCCCATAACCTAAAAATTTGAGTATGGGCTATTTGAGAGTGGGAGAGAACAGCATGGTAGGCTAATTTCAGGGGCTTTACGAGTCTATCACCCAGTGGTACCCTACATACTTCTTTCAAGATCTTCAACCATGAGGTAAAAGAGCCAAGTTCAAAAGAACCCTAGCACATGGGATTTTCTTTTTTGGAAAAAATAAGTAATAGATTGACAACAAATGAATCCCCCACTCCTGTTGTTCATCATGTAGAGTTCAGACATACTGTCCATCGCTGTCATCATTGAACCATGAACCTGGGAAGCCAGATCATGATTAAAACTGACGTCCGGTTTCAAGTTGCAGCTCCATGCACCCAGTGTTCGGATGTGGCAAACTTCTCAGTGACAACTGTGCTGTGCTCTGTAATGTCACGTTTCCTGCAGACTCTTAAGATCTACGGAGTAGTGAACAATGACCTCATTTTATTTTCTGTGTTAGTTATTTATTTCAGAATTAACATTTTAGTTTATTTTTGTCTGTTAAGTGTTTGTTTTGCACTGCTAACTAATATGAGGGTTTAAACAATGCTTCTTCAGGGTCCCTCACTGAGGACCCGTGCAGTCTACTTAATGCTGTGAATTACATTTTCCAAATGTTTAACTTTTTTTTAAGAAAATTAATACTTTATTTTTGTTAGGCTTCTCTAGGAATACAGTTTTTATTTATTGCCCTATTTCTTTTTAAGTTTTTAAAAATAACACACTAAGGGTACAAAAATGTCACACCTGATGGAAGAGTCATTGTGACCAAAATGGGTTTTATTGAGCATAAACTCATCTACCTAAAACTTCTTTTATGAGAAGCCCATAAAATTACTCAAGTTTATTATTTAATGGTTAGTTATTGAGTTGGTTCACAAAATGCCTGGGAAGAGAAACATTTCCTAGCCTTCTTGCCAAATCCAGACCTCTGGTTGATTTTTCTTTGATAGAAGATGGAGTTACTTTCCAATTTTCCAAATTAAAGTTACTTAAGTTGTATATTATTTTGCTTTTAAAAAAAGTGCAAACACTTTTGGAGAATTATAGCCAGTCTTCAGTTATAACCTCTCTACCCACTCCTTGCCCCCAACCCCCTACTCCTCTATGGAATTTAATGAGAAAAATATAAAAAACTGTCATTGGTCAGCTGGCTCTTTTTCCTATGAAATCTATCAGTACTGTCCTCCATTCGTTGTTCTCTATGATGGCCACAGAGCCTGAGTATACCAGGAAAACCAATATTTGCATTACAGGTTGCTCTTGTCCTTCTAGACATCTTTCCTACCTGTGTGACTAACCTAATTTTGCTAGTTCCATAAATACACAATTAGTTTAGTAACAGCCATCAGAAAGTACCATGTACCTTCATGGTGAAAGCTAAAACTCGACACAGACTTCTAGGAGCTTTGTTCATACCGATTACTTAATCCAATTGTATAGATTTGAATATTTGAGTGGAAGGAATTTCCATTCTCTTTAAATGATGGGATTCTATTGCGATAGCACTCATGATCATGACCTTTTTGGTAGTATTCTTAAACAAAATTCTACAGAGACTAAATGTTAAGAGACGATCCTCCATTTTCAATTTTAACCAATTCTATCCCCTTTCTCAAAACCCCAACCCCTGTGCATGCTTTCTCAGTCTTGTGGTGGGACTGGATACAATGACTGACCCCTCCCTCTTTAAACACCATTTTTCCATGGAGTTCAAAAGGAAAAAAAATTTTTTCTTAACGTTACATATCATAGTGAATGGTTTCCCCAGTGTATATGGATGTTTTAAGTGTCTCCAATAGCTTATGAAGTTTAGGAGCTTTCCAATATTCATTTAATAAGATTTAATCATTTGCTAATGGAAATTTTTCCACCTTCCATTTTTCCCTCTGTTACCAAATTTCAGCTCCGAGGAGCTGCTCTACAATTCTGGAATTGCTTTTCTTGCCTCTCTTTAGTCATCTGTCACAGGAGGTTTCTGCTCAGTAACGATATTGTGCGTTAGGAGAACTTTTTATTTTTATTTTTTCGTGCTTCAGATGTAGGAGAAAAGATCCTGTTTCCATTTGAAAGGAACTGTTAAGCTTTTTATCTTTTAACCAACTGAACAACACACCAAAAGCAGCCTAGAGATGAGCATTTCTTTGAAAGCAATTAGGTTATTCACCTGGTATTAAAACTATCTACTATTTAAAAAAAAATCTGTGACTTTTACGAAGTTCATTTTAAAAGGCAGCATCAAAAACTGAAAAAGGAAGGGAAGAAAAAGTCAACAGCTTCTCTGCACTTGTTTGGAGCTCCCCAAAGCGGGAGCCACAGAGAAGAGGCTCAGACCGGGCTGCCCCTTGGAGAACACCCTGCAGCCAGCAGTTGGGAGTCACGCTTTCCACGCTGCACGCAGCCCCTTCACTTTCCAGCCCCCACAAGGAGTGGTCCTGAGCTGGGCTGAGAAGCACTTCACACTCCTCTCTCTTGTTCTGAATGGTGTTTGTGTCAGTCTGCAGCTGTGTATGGCATTATGTCTTATAATCCTGCATCACTTCTATCCTATCCAGTCATATCTAATGTAGAAAATTAGTTTCCAGTGAAAGTAATATGTAGTGCTTTTATGATATTTGTGTGCAATATCCCCTCTTCCATTGAGGATATTTGATGTAAAGGAAAAAAAAAACTCAGTTCCACAATAAAATACAAAAGTGGCAAAAGTTCACGCATTCCCCGTGCTGTTTTTGGCTTTGTGTCCGGAGTTGGGCTCTGCCATCCATGACGGGGGTGACCACATTCTTTTCAGACTGCTTTTTTGTGGCTACTCATTGATTGATGTGTGTAGCCAAACTCTCAAGGAGGTTAGAGTCTTAAGGACAGAAACTGGGAGTTGAGGGGGAAGAATAATAAAAACAGTGGCCTAAAAACAAAATAGTTAAAGGAGAATATTAGCTGGGCTTCCTGCACAAACCACAAAAAAAACGAGAAAGCAGATTTGAATGCTGGCTCTGCCACCTCCAGCTGGGTGACCTGTCATTTAATCTTTCTGGAGTTTTCTTCTCTGTAAAATGAGAGAGCTCAACTAAAGGGTCAGATGGGCTGGTCCCTCCTGAGATGTGTTCTGTAAGCTGTCATGATTATTAGAGCTGAATAAGCTATATCTAACTAACATAGTGTGCTGTATATTTCACTCACACTCATTAATGTGAAAAATTATTATATAAACCATTTGAATGCCAGAGAGGAAATCCTACTTGTTTAAGTATTTTGAATACATCTGTATTCCCAAAACACTTACACAAGTAGGATTTCCAATATGCCATTTAAATGGTTTTCCTGCCTTTACTCTGTACCCAGTGGCGGGTTCTACTTGGCTTGTGGAATTTAAAGAGGAACAAAACAACTTCTGTCCAAGCTGGTTTAGGAAGACAGGCCAGCAGAGAGGCATTGATGCTACATTGTGACAAGGGCTCCTAAAATTGAAGAGTGAGCTTAGATGACCATAAGAGAAACCAGTGGCAATGTGTATGCTGAGCCCTGGAAAGAGGGAGAAAAAGCAAATTCCAGGCAGAGGACACACCATGGCTCAGCAGAGAGTGGGATCAGCATCTGTTGGGGCAGAGACAGCTCAGGATGGCAGCGCATAGTGGGGAGCCCAAGACCCCCCGGGGGATGTGCCTATGGGGTGTTCAGTGGAGACCTCTAGCACCTGGCCATGTCTGTCTTCAGAGATGGTCTTTGACCTCACAAGTCCCCTGCAGTCTGTCCTGAGTCACTATGATGTTCCTTTGTCACGTATACTACTTCTTATCTTGCACTTTGCCTCTGAACCACTCGGACGGCATTGAGTGGTCTCAGCAGAACTCACTATTTGCTAAGAGGGACTCTGAAACTCTCCTGCTTTAGTCAGCTTTTTTGCTGCTGTGACTAGAAGACCTGACCCAAACAATTGTAGAGGAGGAAAAGTTTCTTCAAGGGCTCACAGTTTCAGAGGTCTCAATCTATAGAGAGCTGGTTTTATTCCTCAGGGGTCCAGGTGAGGCAGGACATCATGGCAGGAGAGTGACAGAGGGAAGCCGCTCACATGGTGATCAGAAAGCAGAGAGATCCATTCTCCAGATAAAAATATATATCCCCATAACCCTGCCACCAATGAACCACTTCCTCCAGCCACACCCCACCTGCCTCCAGTCACCACTCAGTTAATCCCATCAGTGATTGATCCACTCATTTTCCTCCAAACCTTCTTGCATTGTCTCACATTTGAGCTTTTGGGAAACATCACATCTAAACCATAACACCTCCAGAAATGAAAGGGTTAGGATGTGAGAACTGGGGTGGGAAATAAGAGATTTTAATTACCTCTCTCAGGCTAAAGTTGGGTAGTTAAATTGTTTTCTGTTCCATTGCTCAATTCCAGGTTTTTCTTCTGGCATGAACCCAAGGTGACAACCATCGGGGTTTGCCTTGGGAGCCTGATTGTGCCTCAGCATACTCAGGCCCAGGGAACCCCTGAGGCCTGGTCACCCTACCCACCCCTGTCCTATTTAAATCTGGAAAAGAGTGAACCCTCTTCCAGCTTCTCCTCCATATTGTGGAAGTAGATTTTTTTCCAGTTTCATTTTTCCTGTCTTCCAAATCATAAAGATCTGTTGAGGACCTGTGACCATGCTTTCTCTCTCTACTTCTATCACTCATTCTGGATGCTCTTCTGTGTCCTTACAATGTTTTTTTTTTTTTTTTTTTGGTACCTCAGGGGCACTCGACCACTGAGCCCCATCCCCAGCCCTATTTTGTATTTTATTTAGAGACAGGGTCTCATGAGTTGCTCAGTGCCTCACCATTACTGAGGCTAGTTTAAATTTGAAATCCTCCTGCCTCAGCCTCCCAGGCCGCTGGGATTACAGGCATGTGCCACTGTGCCCAGCCCTACAATGATCTTTTAACATAGTTTGACTCACAAACTCTTGGCATCTCACATAAATACAGATCACCATTTTCTCTTTTATCTAATATCTTATGTAAATTCACTGGAAGCTTATCTGCAGCTTGGCCACACACAGTTCTGGTCACACACAGTTCTTTTGCTGTGAGATGTTCTCCTGCTTCACTGTCGGGGTTGTTGGTGGTGTTTTACAGACAGTGGAGCTGCGCCTGTTTCTCAGGGAGAGCTTCAGGTCATAGTCCAGACCATATCCGCTCAAGCCAGAAATGCAAGCTACTCTAATGCTCACAGGGGTTTAAATGTCATGTGTAAACTGATGACTTTCACAGTTGTGCCTGCAGCCTGTACCTCTTCTCTGATCTCCAGACTCAAATCCAGCTGCCTGTTGAGATCTTCACTTTGATGTCCAAAAAGGAATGTTTTAAAAATACCCCAAATCAGCTGGGTGCGGTGGTGCATGCCCATAATCCCAGCTCCCAGGGAGGCCAAGACTGGAGGATCACAAGTTCAAGGCCAGTCTCAGCAATTTAGGGAGGCCCTGTCTCAAAAAAGACTGGGAATGAAGTTCACCCCCCCCCCCAACAAAAAAAAAAAGCCCCCAAACAAACCTTTGATCTCTCCTCAGACTGCCAGACTGCTTCTTCCCCTAGGATTTTCTACCTCTGTAAATGGCAAATGCATAATTCTAGTTTC